CTCGTCGGGGTCTATATAAACCATGCCACACCTAGCAAGATAAGAGTCTCTCAAAAATGATATAGTTTACGGTAATCAATACAGTACACAAAATGTGATTATTTCTGGTCGATGCACTGTCAGTCAGTCAGTTTGTTAGTTAGTCAGCAGTTTAGTTAGTCAGTCAGTCGGTCAGTCAGTAATTTAATCCACAGATTATCTTCACTGCATATAACTCAAGTGGTGGCTAACACATCGACGTACAGTCTACTAGTCGACAGAGAAGCCGTGAAAAGTGGGATGCATTGGTCTGGGCTTTTATCTTTTTTTTCTCCTCCTTTTTCAGTCCTCTTTATTAGGATGTCCCTCCTGTGGTAGGTCTAGAACCCCATTTGGGAAAGGGGGTTGAGGGAGAGGGGGTTGGGAGTACACTGCCCAGTAACAAGCATGTTGTAAAATTCTATCATTTAGGGGTGTTTCTTCTAAAGTCAGAGTGCATCTGCCAGACAGGAGGAACCAACATACAAACAGATCTGTAAAATAGATTTGAACAGAAAACTCAAGTTCTGGAAAAAGATCAAAGTCCAGAAGTGGACAAATAGCCACAACTTTCCATCAGAGTGCAGAGCCGGTGAAAGCTAAGAAGTAGAAGAGGAGAAAAGAGGATAATAAGTCTTTACCTGCTGACAGTAGCCGGGGAAGCCACTGCCAGGTCTTGCACCTCAAAGACCATATGAATATATGGGGTGTACTTGATTCTCTCACTGTTGGCCAGACAAAGCATCTTGTTGTCATCCAACACCGTGTTCATATTCTCAATCCACAGCGCATCCACAGGACCATCACAGATAATCCACTGGTGGTCTTTTGATTGGTCCTTAAATATGTTACAAAATTAATTGTGACTGAAATCAAAATTGCTTTTTATAAAGAGGCAAACAGCACAGATGTGGTTTTACAGAAGAATGCTTTAAATACCTTGGACAGCCAAAAAGAGCAACCAAGAGATTTTGAAAGAGGCGGAAGCCCGAAGACAACTTATCACAGACATCAGAGACAGTCATCATTTTTTGGCCATGTTATGAGAAGAGGGAAAAAATAGAACATGTTGTGACCACTGGAAAGATCTATGGAAGCAGGGATAGAGGAAGACAACGAGAGAAGATTCTTGACAGTCTTGTTGCATGGCATGGAGGTGTTTCGGCACATGAACTGATACACGCTGCAGGAGATCGCAGATTGTGGAGAGGCATGAACACCCACGCCAGACGACAAGGCACCTAATGATGATGATAATGAAAGAGTACAATGGAAGGTTAAGGAATCAGTTCTATTCAGGTTATGTGTTTGGTTAGCTGTCAGGTGGGCTATGAAATAATATTCCCTGTTTTGATTTCAATGTTGATAAGATGTTATGCATCTCATGAACTTCAACCTAACTATTTAACAGCAAAAGGAAATCGAAATCTCCTCTTCTAAACACCTATATCATGTAGAAACGATAAAAACGTCTTGTTAATACAAATATGATCAGTCTCTTTTTCTGTATTGTGGCTGGTGATATCCCCATGAATTCTTTCATCAAGAATTAGGAATTCCTTCATCTGGAATTATAAATTCTTTCATCTGGAATTATGAATTCTTTCATCTGGAAATATAAATTCTTTCATTTCGAATTATTAATTCTTTCATCTAGAATTATGAATTCTTTCATCTGGAATTATAAGTTCTTTTATCTGGAATTATTAATTCTTTCATCTAGAATTATGAATTCTTTCATCTGGAATTATTAATTCTTGTATGAATTTGTTCATCTGGAAACCTTTTTTCTATGACATACTGATTCACTGAGCAAATAAATTGTTGAATAATTCTCCATGGCTGTTCATTATCTCCAAGACTAAGTTTCACCAGGATCTCTTCGTAATCAAAGTTACGTGATTCTACCTTCATTTACTATTATAGCTGAGTTATTTTCATTTCCTTCTCTTTAGACTTGTTGAAATTTGTGCTAATGTTTTCAAAAGAATGGGTTAGCCAGATTCATGCCAACCCTCCATAACTGCCTTTTATGACAGGCATGGTGGGCCACAATGTAATATTGTCTGCTTCCATTGTAGGTCCTGATAACATGCCAGGGATGACATAACCACTGAACTAAAAACAAATACGCATAATATAAGGATGTATATATTTAAAACACTGTAGCTGAGTTACCATCCCATGGCAGGACCTTTCCCATGCCATCGGGTGTTCTGGGCATATAGGGCTACTTATATTGTATAGACCAATCAGCATTTGGTGGGTGATGTGGTCAGCATCAAGCTGGCTGCCTTTACTTTCCAGGACTTTACCTGGTACCTTTTTATGGTGGGTTCAACCTAGGAGCCAAAGTCATTTTTTCAAAGTCTGGCTCTTTCAGGACCTGAACCTATGACTTTCGGATCTGCAAGCCAGCGACTAGACGCTACACCATGGCAGCTGCCAATCCTTAATAGGTAAGTTGTAAAAGGCGACCAACTGACCAATTAAGGATTTGCTGAAATTAGATATGGGGAAAGATGCAGACATCAACCTGCTCTAAGCCACCAAAATTGGTGCCAACCACTGTTTCAAGGGTAAACTCAGAAGAAGAATTAAGATCAATTAATGAACAGTGAGGAATAATAATTTTGCTTCAAATACAAAATGGATGGCTAAATAAAGCAAAATTGATAATACACTGCATTAAAACACTTTCTGTCTTGCTCCCTCTCGTTCTCTCCCTCGTTGTCTGATATGTGAGTCACTGTTACACTTCGTATGCTTTTAACCGATGCACATGATTAACAGCCACCATTTATTGGTCTTGCCAGCTACAAACCAAACACTTGTTTAATTTCTACTGTAGACATAAGACTTGACAGTCAATGTATTTTAGACATGTTATAAGTAGAAACAGACTGGAGGACTTGTTTACAACTGGCAAGACTGATGGAAAGAGAGCAAGAGAAAGGCAAAGAGATAAATTCCTGGACGGCCTGCCAATAAGGGTGGGGCGAGATAAAAACATATGCGATTCTGGTGATCGTGTGAGATGGTGAAATGTGACGGCTTACGCTTATCGGCATGACACATGATGACGATGACGATACATATATCAGAAATGTTTTAAGGATGCACGTACTTGGACACAATGTCGAACTGTTAACCCCATCAGTCCATCTTTCCATTCCATGGATATTTTGTCGACACCTCCATAAAGTTCATCCATGGTGATTGACTTGGGATTCATAATATAAACATGGACCGGTTGGTAAAAGTCATTCTCTATTCCGAGAGCATGCATGTTTGTCAGCGTATCAGCAAGTATCTATAGAAATCATCACATTAAGGTAAAACTATTAACATCTTATATTAATAAATGCCCATTCACTCCCCCCCCCCCCCCCCCCCCCCCCCCCCCCCCCCCCCCCACAACCCCAAAGTGGCTTTTAAAAACCATACTAGAGGGAGAGATCAAGAGCAAGAGGTAGACATCAATGCAACGGAAGGACAACATCAACAAATGGTCGAGCAACAGTCTGAGAGAGTGTACAACCCAGACAAGAGACACAGCATGTTGGAGATCCATTGCAGCCAACCTTCATTGTGGAGACGGCACCTGATTAACTGAGGTTTGAGGTTTGAAGTTTGAACAACGGATCAACATCATGGCACACAGGTAGTAACCCATAAGTGCTCCGTTCTTTCTTCTAACTCAAGTCTGAGTCCGAAGAAGCTCAGCACAGTGCACAGGCTCTGTAGCACAGGCAAGGATCCTGAAATATTTTGGGTAGATTCTTAACTCCAAATTTGTGCCCGGGCAGCGCCGTTAGGTTAACTTTTCGATTTCCAACTGCCAAGGGATTTTTTACGTGTGCAACGATGCACACGGGCGTTGGATCTGACTACCCAAAGAACAGGAGGAATTACTAAAAGTCCAAGTCCACATTAAAAAATCCCAGCCCTTACCGGGGATTGAACCCGGAACCTCTAGCACTCGAGGCGGACACCATGCTTCGAGAACACGCAGCATCCCACCTGATTAAAAGGTTCATTAGGAAGTGGGGTCTGGTCGGCTGGAGGTGTATGTCATATGCAGGGCTTTTATCTGGTGGTACACACCTGTACTTAGTACTGATACATTTTAGTCCTGTCGAGACTCACGATTTTATTATTTCTGTTTCAATTCATCGGCACTCTAACTGCAGCTGAAATCCACCAACCTCAAACCTGCAAATTTTGAGTCTGTTAGCCTGTTCGACATCTCCAAACTATTTTATAAATATATCGCTAGACAGTAATATGCTTGCAAAGTTAACTTTCTGTTTTGAGTCTTTTATTTGACATGCTGCACCTATTTGTGCATGTTTGTTGGAATGTTACCCAGGGCCTAGGCAGGATCTAAAAAAACTGTCTATGCAAGATAGAATTGTTTGTTTTGGCAATTTTGACTAGGAACCAGGCAAGATGGCACGCTGATTCTGGATTAGTTGGTGCCTGAAATGAAGAGTATAGGCGGCATCATTGCAGACTGTATCCAGAATCTAAGTGTTGCATGCACATCCGTTTAACATACCTGGCTTAACTGTATGCAGAATATTGGTTCCTTGCCTTTCAGGCAGTGGCATGCCGACTTTGAAGGAAGCCCCCCAATTAGTTGACTCTTACAACATGCTTGTTGGGTAGGCAGTGGGTCTTTTCTTGTTTTCCCCACAATGGGGCCTGGGAGCAAACAGAGGGAGGTCACTGCTTTGAATCCTCATCAAATCAGATGCTCCATATATAAAAACAACTTCAAAAAGACACCTGGCCTCAAGAGCAGAGTGTGCAGAGCAAGATATTGGGAAATATGCAGGACCTGCAGCTGACAGGCGAGTTCATAGAGGCAACCCACCTGATGGTCTGATCTGAGCATACGAAACAGAACGCAAAGAAGAAGAAAAAGATATACAAAAAGAAGACTCAAGGTGTTGAAGATGTTTATTTATTTGCCTAACCTTATACACTGTTGTCTTGCCGCCACCTGTTGGGCCCACCAGCATGACCCCGTGACGCACTATCATTGTCTCCAACAGCTGTATAACTTTCACAATCTGGGACTCCAACACTTGCAGCTTCATCACCACCTGGACATTGATGATCTCCTCTTTCAGGCGACCATAATCATGCTCAGGAATGTTCACTCCAGGGAACAGGTCAGAAAGAATGGCCTGGAAAAACATGAACAAGCAATTTCACTAGTTGAAGCATTTTTTTTTAAAATTAGAAATGTACTTTATCTTCAACTCCTTACTACATAAGCTTGAATCAATAAAAGTAAATGGTAAAGTTTTTGCCATAGCAACAACTACATGACTGAGTTGAATAAAAGCTTATAAAAATAATACTGATATATGTGGGTTAACACTACTAAACAAAGACCAAAAACAAAATAAAAATATTGCTAGGGAGCTCAACAAATAAAACATACATACTCACATTCCCTCAATGTCTTGTAGAACATGAATCCAAAGCGGACAATAGAAAAGTGGACAAGTAAATGTGCATATAAATTGCAATGTCCTGTAAAATGCAAATTGACAACCAGAGATACATACAAATGTGAATGTACTGTAAAATTTGAATACAAAATTTGGCAAGCAAAGATACGTACATATACATTGAACCTCTTTTAAAATAAGAATAGAAATCTGGACAAGTGGAGATTATAAATGTAAATGTCTTGTAAAAAGTAAACGAAAAGTAGGAAAATCACAGCTATAAACTTGAATCTGTTTTCCTGTATGGGTACCAGGGTCCCATTGTTGGGAAAACAAGAATAGACCCATTGCCTCCAGATCAAGCATGTTGAAAGAGTCAACTAATTAGGTGTTTTCTTCAGAGTTGGAATGCATCTGCCTGAGAGGCAAGGAACGAACAAGCAGTCTGCATACAAATATGTCAGATCTATAAAACAGATGTGCATGCAAAACTCAGGTTCTGGACCAAGTCTAAAGTCCAGATGTGGATGAACAACCAGAACTTTTGGCTGGAGTTTATCGCCGGTGAACTGGAAGAAGAAGAAGAAGAAGAAGAAGAAGAATCTCTGTTAAAATACATACAAATCTAAATGTTTTGAAAAATGTGAATAGACAGCTAGACAAACAAACAAGTAAAAGGTAAAAGAACAGAACCCTTTTCCACACTTAAGTTGTGTTTATATATTACTGTCAAACACTAAAATTACTGCCTGTGTTTACCACTTCTGCGGTGTTGGGGAGGGTGGGAGTTGTCTTAAGCCTGAGGATTTAGTGCCACATGGCTAGTGCTGTTGCCATGGACTGTGCAGGTAAGGATTTCATTTTTTCCCCCAGCACAAAATATCCCCAACCTTACTGGGGGTTCAAAACTGAGCCTTCCACTTGAGAACCCAGCATTCTAACCATTCAGCCAGTCACTCCTTGTTGGGTGTATCTTCTTCTTCTTTGCATTCACTGGCTGTACTTTTTAACCACATACATTTGATTTCAGCAGATCTTTAATTGCTTTCCAGACAGAAAAAAATCCATTTTTCACCTGGAACAATTTGGCATCATGCGTAAGGAACTTGGGCAGGTTGCTGTCTCTCAGTGCCCTTATGAGGACCACATCCTCTGATTTGTCTGGGTTCTGACGTTTCAAAGATCCTGCCATCACCAACACAGACTTGACTGCACGCATGCCTAACAATACAAAATTCAGTGAATTATCAAGTGTGTGATTGTAAAAAACAAAATATAATAAGGGAGATTACCCACAAAGCTCATCAATTGGCAGGTTCTTTAGTGAACACTGTTCTTGTCACAGGACACCTGAAAGTTTCTTTTCTCTGGCCAATCCTCCAGCCCTATGTGCTTTCTCTGCCAATGTATTTTCATTGTATCCACCATTGTGGAAACTGCTGGCCTTTGCCTCTTTTTCTGCAGTTATAACCTCTGACTCTATGTTATTCAGGCCACACTCATGTTTAACATTACCAAAACAACTACAATTTTTTTCTTCAATGACCATGTAGGTGTCCATGACTCACAGCCGCAAGTTGTCATGGACAAGATACATCATCTAAACTTGTCCATGACTCACATCCACAAGTTGTCATGGACAAGATACATCATCTAAACTTGTCCATGTCTCACATTCACAAGTTTTTATGGAAAAGATACATCATCTAAACTTGTCCATGACTCACATCCGCAAGTTGTCATGGACAAGATACATCATCTAAACTTGTCCATGTCTCACATCCACAAGTTGTCATGGACAAAATACATCATCTAAACTTGTCCATGACTCATATCCGCAAATTGTCATGGAAAAGATACATCATCTAAACTTGTCCATGACTCACATCCGAAAGTTGTCACAGACAAGATACATCCTCTAAACTTGTCCACGTCTCAAATCCATAAGTTGTCATGGACAAGATACATCATCTAAACATGTCCATGTCTCACATCCACAAGTTGTCATGGACAAGATACATCATCTAAACTTGTCCATGTCTCACATTCACAAGTTGTTATGGAAAAGATACATCATCTAAACTTGTCCATGTCTCACATTCACAAGTTGTCATGGACAAGATACATCATCTAAACTTGTCCATGTCTCAAATCCACAAGTTGTCATGGACAAGATACATCATCTAAACTTGTCCATGACTCACATCCGCAAGTTGTCATGGACAAAATACATCATCTAAACTTGTCCATGACTCACATCCACAAGTTGTCACAGACAAGATACATCATCTAAACTTGTCCATGTCTCACATCCGCAAGTTTTCATGGACAAGATACATCATCTAAACTTGTCCATGTCTCACATCCGCAAGTTGTCATGGACAAGATACATCATCTAAACTTGTCCATGTCTCACATTCACAAGTTGTCATGGACAAAATACATTATCTAAACTGTTTTTGTTCTGCATTGCTAAAGCAAGTCTAAAGGATGTGTGTGTGTGCATGCATGTTTGTGTGAGTACATGCATGCATGTGTGTGCATGTGAGCATGCATGTGTGTATATATTTAGAGAAGCCCTATACCAGATACTGCTGAACTGTAAAGTGTTAGGCTTTCATACATTCAAGTCTGTAACATACACTTTGTTGGGGTTTCCAGCTCCCTTTCTTGCTACCTTCCCTTTAAAAAAAAATAATCCTGGAAAATGTTTAAAGTTTCACTTTTCTTTCATTCTATCACATGTCCTTAATTTCACTTTGCAAACTCAAATGATAACATATTCTTACCTACATAACACTAGATTTTACTATTTTCATGCAAAGTACCATGAAGCAGAAAAGTCTTTAAAGTGGCATATCTGGTCCCTTACAGCAGTAAAATATTCACTACATTAATATTCTGCAAGCTGACATACAGAGACATGGTAACATAATGATTAATTTGCTTGCCAAGACAGCTGCAAGAATTCAAACCTCAATATTGGTAGGTCTAGTTTTTTTTTATAATTAGTCAGCCTTTTAAAATCAGTACTAGACAATTTCCAGGATTTTTGTTCCATACAATCTATAGAATTCTTTACAAAGATTCACAATTTGGGTTCAGGGGGTCAAGTTTTCGTAGGAAAATAAAAATAACAGACCCACTGTCTCTTAACAACCAAGTTGTAAAAGGGGCTTATTAAAAATTTTCTTAAATCGGATGTGTTGGGTCTAAAGACATAGATTTTTCAGTCTAGCTGTAAACAACAATACAGTGTACTAACTGAACCTTTTGAGGGCCAACAAAGAAGAAGTTTAGGATGGAAAGGCAACTAGCTTCCTCCTTAAGCCGAGGGCAGGAGTATGTTAAAATCAACTCTTAAAACTACAAAAACGGTATCACCCACTGAACTACCCTAGACTTTTTACACTGAACCACCCTAGACTTTTGGCACTGAACTACCCTAGACATTTTACACTGAACTACCCTAGACTTGTTACACTGAACTACCCTAGACTTTTTTCACTGAACCACCCTAGACTTTTGACACTGAACTACCCTAGACTTTTGACACTGAACTACCCTAGACTTTTGACACTGAACTACCCTAGACTTTTGACACTGAACTATCCTAGACTTTTGACATTGAACTACCATAGACTTTTGACACTAGACTTTTGACATTGAACTACCCTAGACTTTTGACACTGAACTACCCTAGACTTTTTACACTGAACTACCTCACAGTATTTACACTGACATAGAGGGCTGCGTGGTCTAGAGGCATGGTGTCCGCCTCAAGTTCTAGAGGTTCTTATATCAATCCCCAGTAAGGGCTGGGATTTGTTAATTTGGACTTGGACTTCCAGTAAATCCCCCTGGTCTCTGGGTAGTGAGATCGGACCCCGGTGTGCATTATTGCGCACATAAAAAAATCCCTTGGCATTTGGAAATCAAAAAGATTAGTCTAACGGCACTGCCCGGGCAAAACTGTGAGTTAAAAATCTACCCAAATATGTCAGGGTCCTTGAGGTGCTACAGAGCCTGTGCACTGTGCTGAGCTTCTTCAGGCTTAGACTTGAGTTAGAAGAAGAGCGGAGCACTCATGGGTTACATCCGTTTGCCATGATCTTGATCCGTTGTTTAAAACATCAAACACAAACCATACACTGACATAATTACTGAATTAAAAAAACAAACAAAAAACTTCTTACAATCTCTTCAATGTTTCCTCTGTAAGTACTACATTTCAAATCAAATCTCTTCTTCTCTTTATTAATGTTGGCAGACTTTCTGGCTGTATTTTGTCTTATGCCATTTGTTTGTAAAACCTCCTTGAATTAGTTGTGATAGCCCTTTTGTAATATATTCTTCTCTTTGTCCCTGTAATTCCTTTTAGTAAACTGAATTCTATTCTTGTTTAACTCTATTTGTTCTGCTTCCTAATTGTTGCTATACAAATTCCATTATTCTGTTTAGGTAGATTTAACCCCGCCACACTGAGAAGGGGCTAAACTGACATTTCCAAATAAGTCCAATAATCCATGAGAGTCACTTTAACGACTTAGCTACAGTAGTGTGTTCACGAGATGCCTACCACTGTTAGCAGTTAAAGCATTCTATCACTGCAAACATGTACTTTTAGACTCACAGAGATGTAAGCCAGTTAGTTCTCTGCTGCATTCATGGTTAATAATTATTTCCATATTCTTTATGTGATTTAATACTGTTTTGGTGGCAACTGGAACTGTCAACATCTATTTATGTGACCTATGTAAAGTCATTATTTAAAGTTTAAGGTTTTTCCTTGCAGGGGAGCGGGGGGGGGGGGGGGGGGGGGAATTAACAAATTATAGATTACTGGTATTGTTATTTCAAGGTCAGTGGGGTGAAAGGGTTAACTCATGTAATATACACCTGTCCCTTACCAAAATCATAATGGTCTTGCTGTGACAACTGCTCACTGCACAGTTTGTACATCTGCACCATTTTCTTAGCCAATGTTTTTGAGGATTCAAACCCTTCAGAGTAAAGTATTACTTCTGCTATCAGACCTGCAGAAACAACATTTTTTATAAATCATATTCATACACTGTATTCAGGGTACTGCTAGTAATGTATAACATCTAGATAAGACACAAGAAGTCAGAAGGCAGTCAGAAGGCAGACTGAGCTAGGAGTTACCAGCTCTTTCTGTCCCGCAACATACTATGTAATCAAGCAATGCATGGTGTGTTATAATATTGTAAGATCTTTTATATTTGGTTTGGCTAGATATTAAACATGCATATTTTATACAAACAGGTAAATTGTCTTCTTCATCTTTACTTCCTCCAGTTACTTTATTGAAGTCTTAGAGGGGGAGGGAAGGGGAGCGGGGAGGTGAAAGGATCTTTTATATTTTTTCTAGTGTTTTATCTGTCTGATTTCTTTAAGACTGATCTTGATGGCATGATTCCATATTCTGCATGGTCTTCCACTTGCCCTGTGTCCATATATTTTTTTCAGCGAAGCTCTCTGTGCCAACTGGTAACAGGACATTCATGTTAGATGGCCAAATCACCTCACCTGTTGTTCTTCAATAAAGTATATATGACTGGTTTCAGTCCTAGTCTTCTTATAATTTCTTCAATTTTAATCTTATCTCTTCTTGTTTCTCCGGCAGCTCTTCTATGACTTCTCATCCCTGTTGTAATTATTTTGTGAGGTTAAAAAATGTGTGCTAACTGGGGCTTTTAAAAATATATCCCTGCTGGGAAACAAGTTATATTCATGACAACTTAGTGTTCATTGTATCAACGAGGTTTCACTGAATTACTAATTGCTAGATACTGAAAGCAAGACAAGAAAGACAATGTTTCATGTACCATAATCTGGCACCATCATGGAGATGGGTCTGAACAAAGCCTGAAGGTTGTCTGGCAGTTCCGTGCGTCCAGCATAGCCTGGGTTCATGGTGATAAATGCTGCACAAGTTTGCACTAGCTTTATCTCTCGGCCTTCAAACATAAATCGGCTCAGCTGTAGGCAAATGCAGGAATAAACTGGTCAATAACACACAGCTTAATGAACACTGAATTGAGAATTTACAATATAGCACACCATTGAGCTTCATTAGCACAGCAAATTTCTTAACTCTTTTAGCCTGAGAGGCAGCCACACTGACACTTCCGGGTTGGGTTAAATCCCCCATATATATCACTTAGCTGACTTTATTTTTTTTAATGACAATTAACTTTACTGGTTCTGTTCACACCTGTGCAACATTTAGAATGTTAGGATATGAATATATTTACCAAAAATAGAATTCAGGGTTTTTTCTTGTGAACCAAATGTTTTTTTTAAAAGCCGTCAAATTTGTTCCACAGGGTCAAGGTATGAGTCACCGGATACATAATTTTTGTTTGTTTTTATTAGCCTTTAGGGAGTGTATTCCATTAAATGCTCCATGTTGTTTGTGTTTATTGATTACTTCCTTTATCTATCTTTATAAAATTAGGAAATGTTTTTTGTTTGTTTGTTGAAAATGCAAAATAAATCTATGTCTGTTTGTCTTTTAAATTGTTTCTCTTTTTTTAAACAAATTTATTAGTGCCCTGCTTGAGATAGTTAAAAAAAAATAATTTTTTCAAGCATTCTGACATAAATTCCCATGAGTACATGACCCATTTTCTTATGGTTCATCGGACATGGTTAAGATGTAGATGCACATTGTTCCAGCAGCACAATGGTCGTAAACAGGTTGGTGTCTTCCTCTCATATGCCCTTTTTTGCCTGATCAAACCCACATTCACCCAAACTTATCCACTCTGTCTCATCCAAAGTTGGCTCTTATATCAACATATATTCATTTATGGTCTTAAAAATTTCTGTCTAATCACAATAAGTGTTCCTGTAAATGTCATTCTTGCAGCCAAATAATCCACTCATTCATTCCTTCACACTCCTGCATCTCCAGGACAGCATATCTGACAAAAATAATCCCTTTAAATATAACCATTATCACATTTGGCTAGCAGGTACTTTACTGAGCCCCCCCCCCCCCCCCCCCCCCCCCCCCCCCCCAAAAAAAAAAAAAAAAAAAAACGTCCTACTATATGAACGTTTGACGCCCCTGAAACTTAAAGAGCCACATACATGATGTTAACCCAACAGAGAATAACCCAGCTACTCTGTTCAACTTCTTGAGAAATTATAATTACAGCATGGTGTACTCTGCTGCTCTGAGACTTGTAATGGAGTATTTTAAATAAGGTTTTTCTCAGCAGTCATGTCGCAATGCTTTAGAAATATCTGCAGACAAATTTATAGGACATGAATAGCTGAACTTTCATAGTTACATAAACTAAAACTTTGGAATGTTACTTTAAAAAAAACTACACCTCTAGGAAATGCACACTTTGCATCAGTTAACTCTTTGAGTCCCAAGGAACGCATCATACGTTCATAGGTTCCCGCCTAGAGGCCCAATGAACACAAGATGCGCCGATTTTACATCTCTCTTACATCTCCCTTGGGCCTCTGATGCTAAACCCCCTGGGACTTAAAGAGTTAAGGCTTTAGATGTAAACACAAAAGAAATGTGCATTCCTTTTACCTTCTGTGCTTTAGCATTCCTGATAGTGATTAGCTGCTGGGCAATGACTGACAGGACTTCAATGTTTATCCTGTTGAATTCATCAAAACAGCACCAGGCTCCTGACTGTGCCAGTCCAGAGAAGAATCCACCCATCATCTAGAGTTATATAATTACAAATGAGTTTAACTGATTCCATGAGCCACAAGCACATAAACAAATGAGTCAGTAAACTCTTTAAGGCCCGAGCAACGCTGTGAGTGTTGAGTGAGAAGTTCCAATTTGCCCAAACAACACTGTCAGAGTCAATCATGTGTTCCGTACATATTGCTTCGCACATGGCTCCGTACTTTTTTCTAATGTTTGGAACTACCATTAAAGTATTCAGGGAAGGTTACTCTAATGATTTCCTTTTAATAACATTCCGCATCCCAAGACACCTGTGCATAGATTGATCAGATTCATAGCTACATTATTTTCAACAGTGCAGTTTCTAAGTTTGTTTTCGAGTGCCATGAATACCAATGTTCCAACCACAAGTAGAGTCGCAGACATACTGTTGTGTTAGATTACTCGCTCCAAAGAATGGAATGATGGTTTTTGAAAACATCACTCCACTATTAATCTAAGAATGCCCAAACACTTGTGCTTGGGAAATTAATGAAGTTGTTACCCCCAGTCTTCCCATTATTTATCATGAATATTTAGGATAGGATGTGTTGGGAAATAAACAGGCAGATAGATTGGCTGGTTCTGCACCAGTCAGTGGTATAAACTGATGCAGGACACGCTAGAGGTTGTCAGTGCCCCTTGAAAGCCATAAACAGTGCAGAGGCACACACAGACAGACCATCAGGGTCTGAAGAGAATGGTGCAGCGAAAAGTGATGACCAGGGGATTTGGACAACACAAAACACTCAGGGGAGGGGTGAGACAGAGATACAATCCAGGGGATTTGGACAACACAAAACACTCAGGGGAGGGGTGAGACAGAGATACAATCCAGGGGATTTGGACAACACAAAACACTCAGGGGGGAGGAGTGAGACAGAGATACAATCCAGGGGATTTGGACAACACAAAACACTCAGGGGAGGGGTGAGACAGAGATACAATCCAGGGGATTTGGACAACACAAAACACTCAGGGGAGGGGTGAGACAGAGATACAATCCAGGGGATTTGGACAACACAAAACACTCAGGGGAGGGGTGAGACAGAGATACAATCCAGGGGATTTGGACAACACAAAACACTCAGGGGAGGGGTGAGACAGAGATACAATCCAGGGGATTTGGACAACACAAAACACTCAGGGGAGGGGTGAGACAGAGATACAATCCAGGGGATTTGGACAACACAAAAACACTCAGGGGAGGGGTGAGACAGAGATACAATCCAGGGGATTTGGACAACACAAAACACTCAGGGGAGGGGTGAGACAGAGATGCAATCCAGGGGATTTGGACAACACAAAACACTCAGGGGAGGGGTGAGACAGAGATACAATCCAGGGGATTTGGACAACACAAAACACTCAGGGGAGGGGTGAGACAGAGATACAATCCAGGGGATTTGGACAACACAAAACACTCAGGGGAGGGGTGAGACAGAGATGCAATCCAGGGATTTGGACAACACAAAACACTCAGGGGAGGGGTGAGACAGAGATACAATCCAGGGGATTTGGACAACACAAAACACTCAGGGGAGGGGTGAGACAGAGATACAATCCAGGGGATTTGGACAACACAAAACACTCAGGGGAGGGGTGAGACAGAGATACAATCAGACTGTTGTTAGTACCATTGGAGCTGGAACCCTGTGCTTGTTGCTGAGATGGGGATGGGGCACTTACAGGAATTTCCTGAGTTCTATGATGTTGATTTTTAACCCGTAACTCATATTACTCATGAAATAAAGCTTAATGGTAAACAAAATAAAAACACAGCTTGTTACCCTATAGTCAAGGCTGTCTGAACAGTTGAAGACAACACACTGTATTGCTAAGGCTTTTGCTAAGTCTTTCGTTGTTTCTGTTTTGCCAGTCCCAGCCGGTCCTGCTGGGGCACCTCCCAGGTCCAACTGCAGTGCACCCATGAGACACAGGTAACATCGGTCCTATAAAGTTAGACGGTGTATTCAAAGCTGTTAAAATGCTGCACATACTGAGATGTCTGTAGGAGTTATTACTGAAAAAAAAGTCAACAACCAAATATCTGCATTCTTCTTATCCTTGTTCACAATTCATTTAAATATCACCTTCATCGCACATCAGACATGACCATAAGTGCTGGGATCTCCACCTGATTATGTCACCCAAATGTTTTTAGGCCAACAACTCCCATTCTGTTTTTCTTAGCTTCCACCAACTGTAAACTGCGGTGGAAAGTTCTGGTTGTTTGTCCACTTGT